CTAGCAAATGTTTTAGTACAAGTAAGTAAAACTTTAGTAGATTCAAAGAAACATGATTTCAACGTATCTCATTTGTCTAACTAAATCTATTTTCTGGGAGTAGCAGCGACCGTAACTTTTTCGATGAATCAAGTTTTCAGATATGAAAAATAACTCGTGTTTGAGTTCCGAGCGCAGCTTCAACATATATATAATCATGACCGAGAAACTCTTGCATCGGAGATCGAGTGTACTATCGGTATAAAGATGCTTGTGAGCGGAATCGAGCGACATGTTCGAGAGGGACTCTCGAACACGCGACATGACGTAGCGCTTGGTCCCTCCCAACCGACGAGAACTTCCGAAATTATGTGTTTACGTTTGAAGTTTGCTTTGAACTTTGACAGCGTCTTTACTAGTGAATATCATATCGATCCTTTGCAAAATTTTTTAATAAAGAACGATTTAGTTGTTAAAAACGTTTGGCAAATTAAGTCTCGGGAATATTAAGCCGATGGCTGAGAATGATCCGCTCAAGTCTGCCTTTGTTAGTCGAAAACGTAAGGTGAGAGAAAAACGTAAGCCGTGAAAGGCTATTGCTATACGACTTACGTTTTTCTCCGCTCTGCTTTACGTCTACGACTAAGCAGACTTAAGCGTTTACGGATCATTCTCTGCCATCAGCCTAAATCGGTGAAGAAATCTTACAGCGAATTCGATTGCTAGCACTAGTGCGCACTGAGTGCACACACTAAGGCTCGTTTACAGTCAATTCTTCTATTAAAGGCTCGTCTTAGATATCTCTTGAAATATCTCTTAGCCAGTAAAATAATCTGTAAAGCATCCGCGCGGATCAGTTTTTTAGTTAACACTTTTTCAACGTGTATTTAAGACAAAGTTAAATTTAAGAACTGACTGTAAACAAGCCTTAGTATGCACTCAGAGCGCACTAGTGCAACCAACCGAATTCGCTATTAGTCTAGAATACATACAAACTTAGGTAAGATTAAATTCGCGAAACAAATTATCGCTGAAGCAAAGGTCAAAAGCGAAAATGAAAAGCTTCTAGAGATCAGTCGTGAACATTTTATTCAGGCATTTCGACTCTGTGTCTAAATTCTCCTGAATCACATTTGGTTAATCAAATTGACGCACGGTCCGCATAATCTTTGATCAAACTAAAGTATGAGACTTAAAGTATGAGAGCATTATCAGAGACGAAAAGAGAATGTTGGCGTGTGTAAAGTTTAAAGAGAGACGGGCCCATCGACTGATACTTAAATTGTCGCTTAGCTCTGACACGACATCATTTGCATAAACGTGCGCACATATACGGCCAAAGCACGTGCCCATGTAAACGAGCAATGTAAAGACACGATGATAGCGCGAGCGAGATCGAAGCAAAGCGCGGCCGTGTTGCTGCAGAATAGCGTTATTTGCGCCAAAGTATATGGCTCTTTAGATTTTTACGGTTATACGCGTGCGTGTTACGGAGCCGATCGAATTTCCTGTGCAACGCATCACACACGCTGGCACTCGTACAAAGATCTCACGGACTTGAGGAGTGATGCGTTAATAATGTTTTTCAATCGTCAAAGAATGCGTTTTTTGCTCATTACAAAATTACTGAATATTAAATCATACTTTCAGTGGGAAAAATATTCCACAATTTAATATATCATGTTATCATTGTATTTTGTAAAATTGGACAGTGAAGTTAAATCAAATAAAATATTCGCACATAATGGAGACACCGCTTACGGTCAGGCTGGATTTTAATGAACGCAGAAAAGATTACTTTTACATATTTTTTCAACAATGGAACTTCTCAACGAAAAATGCTCACTCAGACAAATTCTAATTAGGATTAAAGCGCAGAAAATCTGTTTAACTGCTGCAATTTCAACGTCATGATTGCAATAGAAAGTTGAACAATCGGATAACTCGGAATAGAAAATTCAACTATTTTGTGTTATGCGCGAACAAACGGGTCCATTAAAAGTCACTGGAAAGAACTCTCGACAGCATACTATGGCCAGCTATGACACGGACTGGTTCCGAAGTGGCTTCCTGCCCGAGCAGTTGACAATACATGCATACGTTCTATCGATCCACGTGGCAATTCCGAGGCACGGATTAGCCGATGCCACCGACGAAAGTTCATCGTATAGAGTTGCATGTGTATATGTATGTTACAATATTATCCAGAGTTGGTGCTACTCTATTTGATTTTCCGCCATCGGTAAATTAATAATGTGTTTAAACGACTGCTTGTCGAAACTTATGGGAAATTATCGAGCGAGATATTTCAATTGGGAATCGGGAAATAAACTCTTGTTAATAATCTTACTGTCTTTAAGCAAAAAACAATTACTACTCTAGATATTGGTATGCAATTGTCTTTTCATAATTTAGGCATATTTATATAAAAACTAAAATATACTTGCGTCCAGTTTTGTAATATTGTTCAAAGAAACGTGTAATTTATTTTGCGCGCTTTTCACGCGGATATACGATTCTATGTGCAGCTCGTGCGAATAATATTCTCTGCATTATAAAATAATGAAATTTTTGTAGAAGCATTTTCGTTTGCGTTTTAACATAATGTGAATTTTACAAGCGTATAAAACAGCTTGAGATAATATCATGAATAAGAGTTGGTTATAAACCGCGAGCCCGCGATAACGGAAATCGAATCGTGTCAAGAATATACGTCGTCGTAAAATCTAAATGGAAATGTATGTATAAGTTATTGACTGCCTTGAGTGAATTTGACGAAATCAGTAGGATATATAGGCCGGTTCTGGACCACTTGTGGAGGGGGAACCGGATGGACCTAA